ACTAAAATGAACCAATAAAAGCTAAAATGAGCAAAACATGAGCTAAAATGAGGAAAAATGAAGCTATAATGAGCCAAATAAATGCTAGAAAGTGAGCTAAAATGAGCAGAAGGTTAGCTCAAATAAGTAGTCCGCAAGTGAAAATCAGCAGACTGAGCTAAAATCAGTACTCCATGAATTAAAATCAGCAGACTGTAAGCCAAGTTAGCAAAAAATTCACTAAAATGATCAGAAGGTGAATTAAAATCAGCAGAGTGAAGCAAAATAAGTAGAAAAAACTATAATGGCCAGTAGTCGAGGTACAATCAGTAGTCCACAAGCTAAAATCAGCAGAAGATGAAGTAAAATGACCAGAAGTTGAGCCAAAATCAATAGTCCATGAGCTGAAATCAGCAAAACATGAACTAAAATAACCAGAAGGTACTGTATGCTAAAATGAGCCAAAGGTGACGTAAAACTAGCAGAAGGCAAGAMAAATTAACCAGACCACATTTAAAATGAGCTGAAGACGAGCTTAAATGACCAGATCACAAGCTAAACACAGTAGCTAGATGCAAAAATGAGCAAAACAGCAGATAAATTTAGCGAGTGATGTTCAAACTAAAATGAACAAAACAGTACCTGCATTGAACAACACTGCAGCTGAAAGCAGCTAAAAGCAGCTAAAAGCAGCTGAAAGCAGCTGAAAGCATGAAGCCAGTGACTGTTTGCTGAGTGTTCTGAGGTTCTGGTCAGAGGGGGCGGGTCGATGTGTTTCTTCATCGTAGGTTATCTCACCTGAACAGAGCAGCCGGTGATCGAGTATTCTCCTGCGAAGCCGGGCCGCCAGGACAGACGCAGCGCGGTCCGATTGATCCCTGCGGCCGTCAGGTTCTGAGGCGGTGCGGGCAGAACTAAACACAAACATTACGTTTTTTAAAACAGCAAACAAAGACGAGAGGCGAAGAGATGAGCCTGAGAAGAACCACCGACCTGTGATGGTACCAGAACCTGAGGTGGCCACGCCTTTGTAGTTATGAGCTTCACAAGAGAAGGTGCTGGTCCGGTTCAGACCTGGACACAGAGAATAAAACCTCATTACTGAACCTCCATTATTAACAGTTTATTATTTCAGTTTAACACGTTAGATTGTTTGTATTTTAATTCAACATATTTAAAACCTAAACTTTCCATCATTTTACCATCAAAACTTGACTAATGGAGTTTTTTTTTCCAGCCTTAAACTGGAGACTTGTTGAGTCTAAAACTGGAGACTTGTTGAGTCTAAAACTGGAGACTTGTTGAGTCTTAAACTGGAGCTTTGAGATGTTTCTGTCACAGACTGTAAACAAACACAAGCTCAGAGAATAAACAAAAAAAACAACAAAGTTTACAACGAAAAACAGATACGAACGCACTGAAAACAAAACAACAAAATTCCGAGAGCAGAACCAGACACGATGCGAGGCTGATGAGTGAAGCGAGAACACCTGAGGGACAGGTGAAAGTGGGCGGGGCTAGACGGTGGCTGATAAAACACAGATCTTGATGCGAGTCGGCTCCAGGAACTAAAAGGAGGGTTTGTGCTGCAGTTTAGGTGTGAAGAGTCTGAGTCACCTCAGAGGGGGGACCTCGAGGGTCCGGCTGAGCTGACTCACACGCTCCACACATTCCACAACACACCGAGAACATGTGACTTTCAACCCTCGTGCACAGGACCCTGCTGTTCGGCGCCGGCGGCACCAAGCCTCCATTGTGCCGCTGGAACAGAGTACGACCCTCGCCGGCTGTCAGAGGACGTCTGAGGGCCGAGCGCTCATCAAGACTTCTCCTGATTGCAACACATCCTCCTCTGTCTCTGCACTTCTCCATCAGGAAACCACAAAACAACACTTCTGACCCGCTGAACATCTTTCATTTAGTCACTCTGGAAGCTCATGTGTTTTTCAGGATTGAGCAATCACAACAGAATACCCTCCATAGTCCATATTTACAGAGTTAAAATGAATCTGAATGTTCTGAAACCCAAAAACAAAATTACGATGCGGCATGACRGACAAAATTAAGACTATTGTGCAAACAGGGATTGCTACATCCTTGAAGCAGGAGACTATGGCTGTGTCCAAAACGACAGGCCGGGTCCTCCGGAGGACCCAGTCTGCCGTTTTGGACACAGCCTATATCTGTTCTTAAGCTAGCTATTGATCTGATTAATGATAGGTCTGCACCGCTAACTGAGAGGCCGGAGCTGGTAAATGAGGTGACTAATTATTTGTGTTAGCATCAAAGGGGCTAGAGACTAGCATGGGTAAGCTGGTGTTAGGGGTTAAGTTTGTGTCTAATAAAGTAGGTGAGCAGCCTAAACATGCTCATGGCTAGCCTTTCCAATGCTAATGCCATCTTATCCCATAGTCGCTAGCCTTTCCAATGCTAATGCCATCTTATCCCATGCTAGTCGCTAGCCTTTCTAATGCTAATGCCATCTTATCCCATAGTCGCTAGCCTTTCTGATGCTAATGCCAGCTTATCCATGCTAGTTGCTAGCCTTTCCAATGCTAATGCCAGCTTATCCATGCTAGTCGCTAGCCTTTCCGATGCTAATGCCATCTTATCCCATGCTAGTTGCTAGCCTTTCCAATGCTAATGCCAGCTTATCCATGCTAGTCGCTAGCCTTTCCAAAGCTAATGCCATCTTATCCATGCTAGTCACTAGCCTCTCTGATGCTCACGCCAGCTTATCCATGCTAGTTACTAGCCTCTCCAATGCTAATGTAATCTTATCCATGCTAGTCACTAGCCTATCCAATGCTAATGTAATCTTATCCATGCTAGTCACTAGCCTCTTTGATACTAACACCATCTTTTCCATGCTAGTCACTAGCCTCTCTGATGCTAATGCCAGCTTATCCATGCTAGTCGCTAGCCTTTCTGATGCTAATGCCATCTTATCCCATGCTAGTCGTTAGCCTTTCTGATGCTAATGCCATCTTATCCATGCTAGTCGCTAGCCTTTCCAATGCTAATGCCATCTTATCCCGTGCTAGTCGCTAGCCTTTCCAAAGCTAATGCCAGCTTATCATGCTAGTTGCTAGCCTTTCCAAAGCTAATGCCAGCTTATCATGCTAGTTGCTAGCCTTTCCAATGCTAATGCCAGCTTATCCATGCTAGTCACTAGCCTATCCAATGCTAATGTAATCTTATCCATGCTAGTCACTAGCCTCTTTGATACTAACACCATCTTTTCCATGCTAGTCACTAGCCTCTCTGATGCTAACTCCAGCTTATCCATGCTAGTCACTAGCCTCTCCAATGCTACCACCATCTTTTTCATGCTAGTTGCTAGCCTCTCTAACGCTAACACAAATAAATAGCCTCCTTCTCATTTGCCAGCTCCGGCCTCTCAGTTAGCGGGGTCAGCTGTTCAGTTAGTGGTCCCGGCCTATCATTAATCTGATCAATAGCTGGATTAGGAACAGATATAGCCTCCTGCTACGAGGATGTAGCACCGTGCCATAAAAAATATCAATAAAAGCCAAGAGATGAATCCTCAGCTAACAGCTGCTCTCAACCTGCTGCAGAGGTATCGTCCAGTGAGTGTCTGACCGTCAGGCTGCTGCTCATAAAGAACCAAAAGGTTTGGTTTAAAACCAGGTTATTTATCCTCATGGCTCTGATTCATTCGTTGAGTTTAGGAGACTTTTCTTGCCTGAATGAGTCACGGATCAGAGTAAAGTAGCTTAACATTCCCAAAAAAGAAAAYATTCCTCGGAAAATGATGACTGGATTAAAGAAAAAGCATCTGAAGCTCAAAGAAAAGATTTGAAAACTTTCATGACTGTAGCTCAATATCTCTAAAAGCGACTGAGCTGACATGTTAGCTGTGGCGGCCATTTCTAATCCAGCAGCAGTTTGGTTGTAGAGGAACCTCCGTTGAGCGGCTCGAGAGACAAGAGCTGACAGTTTTATTAGGATTTGAAGGATTCCTCATGCAAGAAAAAGAGATTTTGTTGAATTAAAAAAGTGATGGCATTGTGGTTGAGCTGGATGTTTTTCATAAATATATTTAGATATTTTGTGTGTTTGTTTAGAGTGGAAGGTAACAGGTGCTGCTTTAGAAAACCACAGGAATCACTGCAATGCGTTTCTGAGAGGCCCAAACTCAGGAATTTTGTGAGTCATCCCTTTTTTTCCTGTTTGGAATGCTCTTCAGCTCTTCATGCCTCTTTTTGTCTTTCTGAGCTTCCTGGATGAATGTTTTCATTCCTGCTCTGGTTTAAACCGTTAGCCACCRGAGCAGCTGCCCATTCCTGAGCTGTGAGTGTAGCTTACCGTACATCAGCTCTGGGTCAGAACCAAGCTGCCCACTACCATGACTCAGCCTAAATCCTTCAATCAAACCCTCCTCCTCTTCCAACACTGACTCATCTTTCAGAACCTGCCTGCTGTTTGGCACCGAGCTCTGGGTCGCAGTCTGTGGTTTTCACCCACTCAACCACTGGGCGAGTCATGGAAATGGACCCAGTAGACCCAATAGACCCAATTGACCCAATAGACCCAATTGACCTAATAGACCCAATGGATCCAAGTAGACCCATTAAACCCAAAAGACTCAATGGATCCAGTGGCCACAAAACACTCAATGGATCCAATGAACCCATTAGACCCAAAAGACCCAATAGACTCAGTCAACCTAAAAGACCCAATAGACCAATTAAACCCAAAATACTCAATGTATCCAATGGACCCATTAAACTCAAAAGACTCAATGGATCCAATGGCCACAAAATACTCAATGGATCCAGTGGACCCATTAGACCCAAAAGACCCAATAGACTCAGTCAACCTAAAAGACCCAATAGACCAATTAAACCCAAAATACTCAATGTATCCAATGGCCACAAAATACTCAATGGATCCAGTGGACCCATTAGACCCAAAAGACCCAATAGACTCAGTCAACCTAAAAGACCCAACAGACCCATTAAACCCAAAAGACCCAAATGACTCAATAGACCCAATGGACCCAGTGGATCCAATAGACCCAATAGATCCAAAAGACGCAATAGACCCAGTGGTCCAATAGCAGGACTAACTTCTGGTGCTCAGAAAACTGCACAAGGGGGCACCACCTCAAATCTTGCCTAGGGCACCAAATTGGCACAAATTGGGGTCTCCACAGTCTTTAACTGCTACCTGTAAGGTTGAGCGTGGACGGAGACAGGGACATGGGATCATCCAACTTGTTGAGCGGAGCTCCGTCCTGCAGCCAGATGACTCTGACCGGCTCCGGAGGTCCGTGGGCCACACAGCTGAGGCTCAGCGAGACGTTTGCCACGACGGACATGTGCTGAGGCTCCGTGGAAAAATGAGGAAGGCCTGAGGAAGAAGAAGCTGAGTCAGTTTTTTTTTTCTTTTTAACAGAGCAGATGTAAGTGAGGTCCAACTCACCCTCCAGCTGGATGCGCCCCTGCTCAGACAGGGTCTGGTTGTTCTCTAAGTAGACGGCACATCTATAGGAGCCCATGTCGGGGAGCTGTACCTTCTCGATCCTGTTGTGAAAACAGAAAACTGTGAGATCCAGAAGTGACAGGAAGCTGGACAGAGAAATGTTTCTTATTCAGTGAAAACAGAAGAAATGTATCATCAGAAACCAGTGTTGGGCACAGTTCCCCTAAAGCACTAATAGGGGAACTAATTTCTTGATTAGTGCTTTAGGGATTTAGCTATTTTTTAAATTAATTAGTGGATTAKCACTTGCTAAATTTATGGGCTAAATTTAGAAGCATTAACTGAGGTCTTTAAAGTTATTGATCAACATTTTTGTTCACAGTTGAAGGTGAAAGCTGTCATACATTTTGTTCATATGTGTGTCATTTATCTACAAGGTCACATGTGTCAAACTCAAGGCCCGCGGGCCAAATGTGGCCTGCAGGTGATTCCGATTTGGCCCACCAAGGGCACTAAGTGACAACATTCTGCACACAGTAAATATTGTCTCATGTTGACTCTGAAGAATGTTTCATGTGTAAACTGGATTATATTAGTGCTTTAGAATTAGCTTTTGCTAAATTTTTCAGTGCGTTAGTGCTTTAGAATTAGGGGACCTAAATATTTGAGTTAGTGCTTTAGGGTTAGTGCAACTAATATTTAGATTAGTGCTGCCCACCATTGTCAGAAACCGTTGGTTCAATCTAACCTCCTCTGCTGACTTTGTTATTTTAGCCGTTTATTAGCCATTTTAATATTTTTAGCTTTTTGCTTATCTTTTAGCTTTGAGCTAAACTTTGCTATTTTTTGTTAGCTTTTGCTACTTTATGTACTTTAGCTTTTGCAATTTTTTGTTAGGCTGTTGCTCTTCTTAGCTACCGTTTTACTAACTTGTGTTAGCATTTTGCTACTAGTTGCTTTTCACTAAACTTAGCCTTAAGCTAACCTTTTTCTTTCATCTTTTTGCTAGTTTTTCAGCTCTAAACTATCCTTTCAATAATTTTGGCTCRTCTTTTTATGCTTCATCTTTCATCCAAATTGAATTTTTAAGCTAAACTTTTTGGTACTTTAGATAGCTTTTTGTTACTTTAGGCTTTTTGCTCAACGTTTAGTTTTAGGCCAACATGTTGATGCTTTTAACTTTCAGATAGTTGACTATTTTTAGCTTTACAGCAGAGTTTAAGCTTCATCCATCTCTTTCATGCTCTGTATTTGCATTATTTATGGTTATATGGTTTTGTTCAAACTTGAATAATTCTAGAAACGTAACATGAAGACAAAAACAGTCGGTTCAGTAAGATGAAAATGAAACAGGAAGTAAAAACAACTGATTCAGAGTTTCAGCTGCTTCCTACGTGAGTGTGCTGGTGATGGTCCAGCTGTTGCTGCCTGTGGGGACTTGGACCTGGTTGGTGTCAGCGTACAGAAGTTGGACCCCGTCTCTCAGCCAGACCACATCTGGGGGGTCCTCCTCCTCGCCCCCGCTACCCTTCAGGTCGCAGCGCAAAGAGACGGGTTTGCCCAGGGACGAGATGATGGTGCCGGGGCTGCGTTCAAACTCCAAATCTACAAAAGACAAAATAGATTTGTCTGTTTTAACAGAATAAATACTTTAAATTCTCTAAATAAAACAAAACTAAATAGATAAATCTCATTTTATAAAACATTAAACTTTCATCACCCACAAAAATAATAATTTAGTTACAGAGTTACTTTTATTTTTTAGTGGTTTAAGTCGTATAATCCCATTTCAAACTGATAATATAAGATCTATACCTAACATTACTAGTCTATACCTAAAATTACTAGTATATACCTATCATT